TAACGGGGTTCGAGTCTCAGAGTGAACATCAACTCTGAGATGCAGGTACATCCAGCTGACGAGTTCGGAATACGGCAAAACGCGCGTTCTGGATTCCACTGCTAGACACTATCCATCTGTGCTTGAATGTATAGTTGTTGTGTTTTTTTGTCTATTTAGGTATCTTTCTTTTAATCTACTTATATGTTTACTTGTTTTTCTTTACAGAATACATAGAATTAAACAACTTGAAAATATTCACATAAATTATTTCTCATAATAAAATGATGTTTTACTTTCAATTAATCTTCATATAATTTGAAGTTTACTATTAAATAACAAGTTCCATACTATCAAAACATTTTTTGTATTTGTGTGAAAATTGAGTAGATAATCATATTTACATTCATATAAGAGTGTTTCTTATTTTTCTCTAGAAAAATAATATACCTAGTTACAATACAAGTATAGGTTGAAGTTGCTTACGTTAATACTATTGTTTTTTCTTCCTAAACATAAGTTGGAAAACTATTATAAACTCTGTGGGGCGGTTGTTCGCAATTATTTCTTGATAGTTGAAAGTTATTCAGTAGTCTATAGTCACTCCAATCCTACATGAGTTCGAACGTAGAAAGTTTAAGACTTGGGAAAAAACAATGCTTCTAAGAATTGAATAGGAATTCAATATTTCACATAATTAACTTCAGTTAATTTCTATAGATGGGGTTCAAGAATATCAAAGTTAAGAAAGTTTAAACTGATTATGATCGTCACTCTGTGGATTATGAATCAAATAAAGTTGGAAAATTAAACGACTAGCCTGAAGTTTATTGATCTCTACCTATCTACTCTACCCCCTGTGACACTTATATTTTACTATCTTCAACATTGCCTTTCTCCATAGTTCTCTATTTAGAGCCACTTGTGACCAAAATGTTCTTAATTTCAAACTAATTACAGGTTGACTAAAATTTATTTAATTGACTTAAAGGAAAGTTTAAGCAATCTTAACTATTCTCAATTTAACTCATTTTTCAACAGAAAATTTAAGACTTAGTTTTGTAATCATAAGATGTTTCATTAAACATCCAATAGGTATATACGATGTATTTCTTGTAATTTAACATTAACCTTACTGATTGTTTGGGAAAAGAATACAAATCTAAATCTGATTAAGATTACTGACATTTCTTTTTTGCACTACATCCAATAAATGATGTAACATATTTCCAAACAGTAATCATCAGATTAAACATTGTTATCCATATCTTTCCATTTTATGTATTATGTTAAATCCAGTTCCATAATTGAGGATAAAGTAATAACTTTGAAGATGTAATTCTTGTCATCATTTAATGGTTGACTTTCAGAATTTACTCTAAAATGTTGCTTCTTTTCAGGGTACTTATTTAAATATTTAATGTAGGGATAATTTGAGAATTAGAGCTATGAAAGCGTTAGAGAGTAAGTATAAATAGATTCGGTTTGTAATAATATCAATGAATTAATATATAGAAGTGTGTGACTGTTTCATAAATGTTTGGTTGTTTTTTGTTTTAATTCACATAACATAAGACACTACGGATTGATATGTGTTGTTGTTTTTTAGTTATAGATAAAACAAGTTATCTTCACACTAATTGATTATCTTTTAAGTCTTCAATGTTGATCGAACTTTGTAGATCGAATTGAAATTTTGCAATCGGTCTGTAAGACTTGATATCGGGTGCATTATATTTGGATGTCATGTCATTAGAAGAAATCAGCAAGACGGATTAAATCAAGATTTCATGCTAACTAATATTCGTATACATGGTAATATTCAGAGTCATGAGTAAATGTATGATCTATATGAGATTTTAATTTTCTCTTGATAGTTGTGATTCACCTTAATACTACGAAACAAAAATGATAGTCATGAACACGCAAGTGACTGATTATTCCTGAAGTTCTCGTGATCAATGTTGTTTAACCTTATCAACGGTAAGTCAGGTATCACCTACAAAAATGAATAATGAATATGAAATATCACGAATTGACTAAAGTAAGGAATATGAATTGTTTGACCTTAACTCCTTGAAGATTAGCTTATTGTGAAACCTGAACTTTTTTGCCTTAATTTTAGTTGGAATCATCTATTGACACTCCTGGAGACTTACATTACTATGTATGAAGAGATGGCTACCGTATGTTCTCTGGTTTGAAATGATTGTCTAGTTAAGCTGTGATGAAATGAAAAAGTCTAAATAAACTAATATAACTATAAAAAAACAGTTTAACAAAAAAAGGTTCAATACATCTCTTTATTTCTATTTGTAAACAATGTTTACATTATAATGAATGATTCCCTTAACAACATATGAACACTTTTATTGTCGTAAAACTGAAATAATGGATAGTAGTCAATTTGTATTTTTATTTCTAAGCAGAATATATTCAACTGTTGAATAATAATAATAATAATCTGTATCTAAGAAAGACTACATTAATTTCCGTATTCTTCGACATTTGTTTAACACACTATCTCTTTAATGTGAACAATGATTAGATTGATACGAACGGTAGAAAAAAGAAATGGGTGTACACTATCTAATATGTAAATTAATAAACTCTTACAACATTTATGAGTTGTCTTTTTTTGTTGTTGAAAAAGTTAGGTTTCCAATAAAAGGCAGAATAAACAATTATACTATTGTTGAATTACAATTTCAACAGATTATGGACATTCTACTTATCAATCAATAAGATTAACCAATCCAATATTTGTTGTCAACATAAACCAATAATGGGTTAGGGATAGATCATATATATATATATATATATATATATATATATATATATATATATATATATATATATATATATATATAGTAAATGTAAATGATCAGCTTCAAGTGAAATATTTTACTCATATTATTATTAATAATTTACTTTCATGTAAGTTGCTCCAGAGATAAATTAGATTCATATATGAATTCGTTTTGAGGAGAGTTACTCATAGATAACTCATAAACATTTTAATAGAAGTTAGATTTTTCTCATCAATTCCAACCAATGATTACAAATTGTTGTATCATTGCAAGAAAAGATTTTAATATTCTCATCGTTGATAATATTGTTTGGATTTTAATTAATCTATATTAAAATGCAAGTAAATCCAACTGATGAGTCTTAAATACGAAAAACAAGCTATTCCTAGATCCTACTTGTGGCTAATACCCAAATTTACCGGAATCATTTGTTTAAAATGTCTAATTTGCAGAAGTTAAGTCACTTTGACAAAAAATGCACTCAAACTGAACAATTTATAACTACGATTCTTTTTGGTGTTTTATGTAACCTTTTTTTTGTGAACTTTGCTTTCAACATAAAATATTATAAAATGGAGAACCTTTTCAAGTCTGAATGCAAAGATAAACAGATTGGATTTTAGATATTAACTATAATTAACAACAACAAATGGTTCCAGTCAAAGTAGATGAAGTTGAATATTGAACCTGTCTAAAAGTCATTTGTTTTAATCATTAGTCTACATCATGATATCCAGTTGGTGATAAAATCAATCATTATTGATTGGTTTAGTAGAAATATATTTTCGACGTGTATATGATATAAATTAGGAATGTTTAGATTATTTATTGCATCATCAATTTTAAACAATAGTTTTGACAAAATGGTCGTCCAGTGCTTCCAGGTTTTCAATGGTGGTCTAACTCCAATTGACTCATGATTTCAACTTTATATAAACAATAGCTTTGAATATAAGAAACAAAATTTGAGAATATAACTGAGCTTGCAATAGATTTAAAAAACCCCCTTCAGCTATGATAAAATCAGTTTTTAGTTTAATTTGTAAAAACGATAAGAATTAATTTTAAAAAAGTCCTTCTCTAACTTTCATAGTGACTTAATAGAAACTCAGGTATATCTACAATAGATTACATGAATTTGGATTATATAAATATTAGGGTGTCTATACTTTTCCTGGTAAATACTGCTTCTATTTCATGATTATGATTGTTTCAGATATCGTACAGATGAATTTGTGTCTAATGTTAACAGTCATAAAACTGTTTTGGATCAGTAATAAAAGACTACTTATAGTGTAAAATAAAATGGATACATTTAGCTTGGAGATTATATTGCAAACTAAATAGGTAGTATACATTTAAAGTTGACTATTAAATAACAATGTTTAAGTTACTATACTCTTAAACAAATACTTTCTAAACTTATAGGACATGTAAATGAATAATACAAACAAACTTCGGTAAATTAATTGAAAGTATTATTATAGATCCAAACCGTTGCTGCTACCTTGACGTGGTGGTCGGGCTTGCCTATCGTGATGAAGCAATCGAGCTATACTGGCTGGAACAATCGTTCCTCAAGGTCCTACCATGCCAGACACGTCGGTTGAGGAGCGGTAAGACTAAAAGCAGCAAACCCAAAGTCTGAAGGCGAAGTCGTACTGCTGACTGTACAGAAGTGTGGCAGCAGTAAGATTTTTCCTTCAGACTATTAGCATAACAGCAATGCTGCCTCCTCACAAAGGAAGGGTGGGTTTAGAGAAGGTCGATCCTAAAAATGCACTACTCACCTTATCCCACGAATATCCGTCTCCGGCGGTAAGGTCCCAACAAGTACGGAGCTAAAACAAAAACTACCCACAAAAAGGTCGTGTGTGACCGACCTCAAGCAGTTGTCGCTTGGGCACTGCGGTCACGCTCTCAGGTCATTAAGACCACTTCTAACCCAGTTTCATTTTCAGGTACCTCTAGAAGAACCCTTCCACGGTGTGAGCAACCGGGAAGTGATAACTGCCCTCATACCTCTAACAGCACTCAAGACCACTGATTATTGTAGATTTCTTTATATATTATGCAGTTAAATAAGCATCAGAGCATATCTATTTTCTAAACATTGCCATAATTTCAAATGAGTAGTTAATTATACACCATTGAAATATTTATTTGTACTTTACAAACCATTTCAATGATTTTTATAGTAATCTATTTGTAATGGCAAGAGTTGGAAACGGTTTACAAATTCCTTTATCATGGATTCCAGTCAAAGATGGTTTGCTTCCAAAGAATGCTGTTAAAGCAGATGAATCAATTTATGTGGCTCGTTGTAGAATAAATGATGATTTAATTTGTGGCAAATTTTCAGAGAAATATGGAAAGGCATATTTTCCAGTTGACGGTAAAGAGTTGGAAGTCATAGATTATGAAATATTATGTAATACTGGTATTCCTGGTTGTCGTGAAGGGTATGTTTACTTATTTACTTGTTCAGCGTTACATATATTTCATTTAAAATTCAATTAATGATATCCTACCTATAGTACAAAGTACAACCATATGTGTCGAAGCACTTAAACTACGATAATAGTAATAATAATAAGATCTAAGCATTTTCAAATTTTATTCTTGCTATGATAAATGCATTGTTTTACAACAATTCAAATCGTTCACATAACCCATTCACTTTGTAGTTACATTGCGTTAATCTTCCAAATTAATATATCTGTCACATTATGTGATTTCGATTCAGTATTAAGTTATGGATACCTATTATGAGAAGTTGGAATTTTTAAAGCTTGTGACTTCAAGCAATATCCAGGCAGTACTCACAGAATGCACATATGCCAACAAGAGACTGATCAATTGCAGTCCTTAATAACAATGGGAAGATACAAGTAAACAACATCAAGTGAATATAAATTCACCCCATCGCAAAAGCAAGTGGATATCAGGACTCAACAGTTAAGTAGATAACGCGATGGCATTTGAATTGGGTGGACATCAACTCTGAGATGCAAGTACATTTAGCTGACGAGTCCCAAGTAGGACGAAACGCGCGTCCTGGATTCCACTTCTAGCCACTATCCATTTCGTTATTATTATTACTATAATATGAATAATTTAATTTTACCACTAAATTTAATTAGATTTGAATGGATAATGATGAATGGAGGTGATGTACCAGAAAATGCATTAGTCGCTGGAATAAATAAAGTCGGTACACCATTGTACATTGTAAAAGGACGAATTCAAGGTGAAGTATGCGTTGGAAAAGTGAGTTTGATTTTATTGAATATTGACGTACATCTACTACAGTATGAGGTTCTTTTTTTAAAAAAAAACAATTAATTACTGATTACAGTAGTTAATTCTATTTAATTGTTTTAAATAGCCACTGTAAAGTATAATAGTTGTCCCAAGATTTTTATTAAAGTTACTTATCGTGGAAACCAGAATGTATATTATATTCTATTTGAGACTTATCATCTGGATATACCTGTCATATCCTTGTATTGATGTTCATATTGAAACTCGAACCCGGTTCCTTCCACCTAAAATGTTAACATGTTATTTACTGAACTACTGTATTCAAAAACTGATTGATTAGTTTATGCGTTCATGAAATCAATAACAGGAAAATATAAACCCTTATAAACAAGTAAATTTTTACATAGTTAAGATCATGAGTCGATTGAAGCTAAATCACCAAGGAAAACATGGAAGCACTGGATGGTCGTTTCGTTCTATTGTGGGACTCTTCAGCAGTGCGCACCACGATCCCGTCTAGCTTCAATTGACTGATGCTTTCAACTATGCAACTACTAAATCTCCCCAAAAACCCCTTCTGAAGTAAATTTTTCCATTTCAAAGGAGTAATCATTTAACGATTATTTTCATTATCAAATGATATCAACTGAAATAAAAACAGGAAAAAAGAACGAAGTTCTTTCATAGATAGATAATTAGCTAAAACTCCAGGACCTGGGTTCGAATCTCGCGAGAGCAGGATCGTGGATGCGCACTTCTGAGGAGTCCGATAATAGGACGAAACGGCCGTCCAGTGCTTCCAGGTTTTCCACGGTGGTCTAGCTTCAATTGACTCATGATCTTAACTATATATATGCCCCCAAATGCCCTGGTACGGCCGAGAGTGGGGAGAGTCTACTCTCTCTCTCGAAATGCTCTCACATGGCCAGCGAATATATAGCCTCTGCCAGGGAAGTCCTACTCACTGCCTTCTCGTGGCGGGGGTGTTGTTTACGAAAGTGAGAGGACGAAAAGCGAATGTTCGGCGCTATAACCGGATTGGTGGACACGGAGGGTCCACCTAGGGGAGTTGGAAAACCCTGATTCCAAACCAATGGTGCACATGGGCTCCAGTATCCTGATGGAACGAATGGCGGAAGAACCTGCTGTTGGTCAACGGCAACCATGGGACTGCATCTCCTCACGATGCTCCACTGCCTTGTGGATCAGACCTTTTGGTCAAAGGCTCGGGGTGTGGTCCCCTAAGGAAACCACCTGCTTCGGTTTGGGCACCCGGGCAGTATCACAGCCCACACACAAACAAATGAATGAAATTATGAACTTTATTGACGATATCCCTGGTCATACTAAAAGCAAAACAATTAACATTATTATTATTATTACCTTTATTATTATTATTATTATTATTATTATTATTATTACTTACCATATCGCTAATTCACCCCCTTTTATCCCCAATTTGTGTAACCTTACTCTTCAACTTATGCAGCAGCTCGCTCTTGGTGGAAAATCTGTCCTATCTAAACGATCTCCAGTCACTGTCTGGTTGAAAGTGAATGCTTCCACCGATTATGAATACTGAGGCAGTCTTTCTGAAACCACGTACGCCGTTCAAGCTGGCTTCCTTCAACGTTCGCACACTAATGCAGATCAGACAACAGATAGGGCTGGCTATGTCTTTGGAAGGTCTTAATGTTGACGTTTGTTGTCTATCCGAGACCCGTATTCAAGACTCTAGTGAAGTACTACAAATCCGCTCTCCATCTGTCGCCTCGAAAAGCTTGTTCCACGTGCGCTTATCCGGGGACCCTGTGGCATCTTCGTCTGGTCTTGCTGGCGTTGGTGTCGCACTAAGCGCTAGAGCTGAGGCAGCACTAATCGATTGGATCCCCATTAACAGTCGGTTATGTGCTGTTAGATTAGAAAGTTCCATCAAAGTGAGAAGAAATCGGCGTGAGAAACGGTGTCTTTTCGTCATCTCCGCCTATGCCCCGACAGATTGCAGCCCGGATGCAATCAAGGATGAGTTTTACCATCAATTAACAGTTCTTCTCCAGAAAGCGCGTTCGACAGATATTGTAGTACTAGCCGGAGACTTGAATGCACAGGTCGGGCGTCTAGGCACAGAAGAGAGTCGTCTAGGTGGCCGATGGGGACTTGTTGGTCGCAGGACAGATAACGGGGACCGTTTGCTGCAACTGTGCACAGACCACAACCTGTTTCTGGCCAGCACTAACTTCCGGCACAGTCATCGCCGGTGTGCCACCTGGCGTCCTCCCTCTGCATCCCAAGCCTGGACTCAGATTGATCACATCGCGATCAGCTACCGCTGGCGTGGTTGTGTACAAGACTGCCGCTCCTTTTGGAGTACCTATCTGGAGTCTGATCATGCCCTGGTCTGCGCCAATCTCACCTTACTTTTCAGTGGCCGAAGGATTGACCACCACCAACGGATTGATATTAGTAAACTGGCTGCAACTTCTGTTGCAAGTAAGTATCGAGCGGAGCTAGCCTCTAGGCTAGCTACCACCCCACCGAAAAGTATAGGTAAGCATTGGTTGCATCTTCATGACGCCATGAAAATGGCGAGTAAAGCCGCTTGCGGCTTTGCGAAACGTCCCGCTTACAAGCACTGGGTTTCTTCTGGCTCCTTACAACTGATGGAAGCCCGTCGGTCTACTCCGGGTGACCGTGAGTTTGACCACAAACGAAGGCTGTTACGTAATGAAATCGGGCAAAGCTTGTGTAAGGACCGGGAAGCCTGGTGGTCGGAGCGTGCTAATGAGATGGAAGCAGCAGCTGCATCTGGTAACTGCCGGAAGCTCTTCCAACTCATCCGAGCCACTGGCAGCAAGAAGTCTGGTGTGAGTGAAACAATCTACGAGGATGACGGGATGCCAATCACTAACATCTGTCGACGTCTTGGACGATGGGCGGAATTTTTCGAAGGGCAGTTCAACTGGCCTGCTGCTCCGGCAACATCAACCAGCTTGTCCTGCCCCCCATGGCCGGTGACAACTGATCCACCAAACGAGGCGGAAGTCCGCAAGGAACTCCAACTCTTGAAACGTTACAAATCACCTGGCCCAGATGACTTACCTCCGGCTCTTTTTAAAGATGGTGGTGACTTTCTGGCTAAGGAACTGACTGCGTTGTTTGGAAAGGTTTGGGAGCAAGAAAGTGTTCCAACATTTTGGAATGAGTCAATAGTCGTCCCTATCTTTAAAAAGGGTTCACGTTGTTCCTGTAGCAACTATCGGGGGATAAGTCTACTTTCGATCGCGTCCAAACTATTGGCTTCTATCATTCTTCGTAGGTTGTTTAAAACCCGAGAACGATTGACTCGCGAGGAGCAGGCTGGTTTTCGTTCTGGTCGAGGATGCATTGATCACATCTTCACCCTCCGCCAAATGTTAGAACACCGTCATACTTATCGCAGGCCAACAATCGTAGTGTTTCTTGATATCAGGGCTGCCTTCGATTCGTTGGACAGGACTGTTCTCTGGGATTGTCTATTGAAGAAGGGTGTGCCTGAGAAGTTCATTAACATCTTAAAAGCCCTGTATACGAACACCTCAGGCAGAGTGAGGGCATACAACCACCTTTCTCCCTTGTTCCATTCGAGCAGTGGGGTTAGGCAGGGTTGCCCAATCTTACCATTCCTCTTCAACTTTGCCATCGACGGCATCCTAGAAACAGCTCTGATGGATGTAAGTAATGGCGGTGTGGATATGTTGCCTGGAGAACGACTTCTCGACCTCGAGTATGCGGATGATATTGTCTTACTGTGCGATAATGCCCAAGGCATGCAATCAGCACTTAATCAGTTGGCAATCAGTGTCCGCAGGTACGGCATGTGCTTTGCACCCTCCAAGTGCAAAGTACTCCTACAAGACTGGCAGGATTCTCATCCTGTACTCACCCTGGATGGTGAGGAGATCGAAGTAGTTGAGAAGTTCGTGTATCTAGGTAGCTATATAAGTGCTGGTGGTGGCGTGAGTGATGAGATTGATGCACGTATAATGAAAGCCAGATCGGCTTATGCCAATCTGGGCCATCTTTGGCGCCTTCGTGATGTTAGTCTGGCTGTAAAAGGTCGGATCTACAACGCGTCGGTGAGAGCAGTTTTGCTCTATGCTTGTGAAACCTGGCCTCTCCGAGTTAAGGATGTTAGACGTCTCTCTGTATTCGATCATCGTTGTCTCCGAAGGATTGCTGACATCCAGTGGCAACACCATGTTAGTAATGCAGAGGTTCGGCATCGTGTGTTCGGGCGCAGAGACGATAATTCAATTGGTGTCACTATCTTGAAACACCGACTTCGGTGACTTGGACATGTTCTACGAATGTCGTCCCAGAGACTTCGACGTCGTGCATTATTTGCCGACCCTGGGACTGGTTGGAGAAAGCGGAGAGGAGGTCAGTGTATGACATGGTGTCGTGGCATGAAAGAGAGCTGCAAAGGGCTAGCTTCTGTTGGTCCTTCACGACTCCCTGGTTGGGGTCCGAGAGATAGTGCAACACAGTGGCTAGAGACGTTATCGGATATGGCTCAGAATAGAAGCCAGTGGCGATCCTGCTGCAACCTTCTTTTACTTTCTACATAAAGAATGGTTCTAACTTTCCTAACTGAAAGAATCTTCTGGTTGTACATTTCAGCCCGCCTTATCTTTTCATCCTTTATCTACCTACTTTCATTATTTTGTGTGGCGCATATGTACCTGGTGCCCTTTTGTACCAATATATATGTGTTTAAATAAAATAAAAAAATAGTAAATATTTACTTTGCAAACTATTAATCAATGGTCTCAATCTTGACCATTCCTTCTGCAAATATCAGTCCGTGGTGTCCGATTATTATTGTCCATCCAATTTCAAACCAATTGTGTTTCGTTTCCGTTCTTCCATTATCGATCTTCTACTGAAATACATTTAATATTTGACGATCGTTATATACTACTTATGTGTATATAAGTAATCCACACCATACTATGGAAAAAGATTTAAAATACACAACATAAAATGAATTTATTTAATCTCTTACTTTAGTTATTATTCTTACTTTGTAATAATTCAGTAATGACTCTATCTCTTTCATTCTCTCTATCTCTTGTTTGTTTTATCAGTTAATTCAAGGTGAAAGTTCAGGATGTTTTCCATGGAGTGGAGATGAGCATAAATGTGAATATTATGAAGTACTTGTTTTAAAATATTGAAAATTATACGATACATTTGTTTATCTTTTTTTAATAAAAAAACTATTTTGACACAGAGAAATATATTTAATTTAAAAATAATCCTTATGAATTTCGTATAATAATTATTTATAATCATACAGCAATACTAAATAAATAAAAAAATATCAGAAGGGGTTTTTGTGGAAATCTTAGTAATTTTATATAGTTAAGATCATGAGTCAATTGAAGCTAGACCACCAAAGAAAACCTGGAAGCGCTGGACGGCCGTTTCGCCCTATTGTGGGACTCATCGCACATCCACGATCCCGCCTCGCGAGATTGTACTTTTCTCATGTGTATATGATTTGTACCTTTGATATATCTGACTATCTTAATTAACCTGCTCAAAATTGTTTCATTTAGCTCAGTGTCAGTTATGCATAATTTTTAAAAAAAAGTGATTTAATTTTAGTGCTTCTTCTAATCTTTTGAAAAACTGATATTATGGGTTAATTGAATTTTGTTATATGGTTTAAAATAATAATTTTATTATTATTAGCTTTATTCGATATCATATTTTTAGCACAATATAGAATTCTTAACATAAAGTATTTCAACAAGTTTCCGTTTCTTACTTCTTGGTCGACCCTGACGATAAGTATTGAATGATCACTAGTTAGAAGTTAACAGTCTAGTCAATCGATATCTGAATAATGTACATTCTTTTCTCTGCATATTGCTAGCAATCACGATATCTCCGATTAGGCTCGTTTGTTACCTTTACAGAGAAAGGTTATACACTTTTCAGAAACGCACTTGAATAGGCTATGCGATTAATAGATATAATGATGTATTAAAACAAACAAAATTAGACAACTTCTTAAAATATGTTGCCGACAGGAACAGGTAGCCAAGATGTTTAAGCAGGCCACTAATGAAACCCTCAATAACTGAACACTTAATTAGTTGAAAAAAGTTAATGAGTGTTGAAAATGTCTGTAACATTTTCAATATCCAGTAAATCTGTTAGATTTAGTACTTACGACTACTTTTCCACACTTTTTTTAGTGAATACGTGCTGTATATTAGAGTGCGATCTGTGTCAAAGATTTAATTTTTCATCCAGTATGATGGGCTTCACTATACTGATCTTTATAACAGATAAATGAAGATAATTCTAGTAGCATGAAATGATATCATTAGTGTAAATCACACTCTACTATACACTTTGCTCACTAAAAACACGATGAAAAATAGCTTACAATATTGAATATTGTAGTGAACAAGAACACGGGAGCGACAAATTACAGACTATCTCACTAAAATATGATAACAATCTAGTCAACAGTTAATTTGCAAAATAGCAATCAATCATCCCAATAGTGACTGTTCCTTCTGCTAATATCAGTTCATCTTCTCTGATTTCATTTTTCATGCATTTTCATATCAATTGCGTTCCGTTTTGGTTCTTTCCTTATCAATCTTCTACTGAAATACATTCTATGCCTGATGATCACCATATGCTACTTATATAGATATAAGTAACCCACACCACAATACGACACATTCATTATGAATTAAAAAATATTTCGTGTAAACTCAACCTCTTAAGACATCAATGTTATGAAAAAAGAAGATAATCCACAAACCACTTATAAGCAAAGATGGATAATGGCTAGTAGTGAAATCCATGACGCTCATCTCCTCCTATTTGGGACTCGTCAGTTGTATGTACCTGCATCTCAGAGTTGATGTTCACCCTAGGACTGGAACCCAATATCGTTTGCTTCAAACGCCACTGAGTTATTCACTGAACTACAGAGTCCTGATAGCCACTTGCCTGTTCAATAGGGTGAACTTTGAATTCACTTGGTATGGTTTGTTTGAATCCATAAACCATTTGTCTATAAAAAATAAACTGAATATATAAAGTTAATTATTCCTGTTCAAGTTATAATCCATAAACAAAGAACGATTGAAGTTAATTTTATAGAAAATTATGAGCTTTAAATAAAATACAACAGTATTCCTAAATTTTAATTCTTTCTACAATATTATAACAATATGAGATATTATTTAATTGTGTTCCAAGATTCTCTAACTATTTCACACTCATTAGCGATGAGTATCTATAACATGACAGAGTTCAAGAACTCATTAGTGAATTTATTCTCTCAACAACCGATCATATATAATAATGATAATCTGAACACGAATTGATTATATAACACCAGTCAATTTCATAATAAAACACTTAATACAAGTGACACGTATAAATAATACAACAAGAAGATAATAATATAATTCACATTAGCGTAGTCGATTCCGAATGATTTAGTCACACATTGACTTATGAAAACACTTAAATATGGTGACGGTAGTCGATAGAAAACCCTGGAGTTAAGTCACGTGTTATGTACCACATATTAGTAAGGTATATCTGTAATCTTGATGGAACCAATCCTTTCTATAGGATTTGATCAGCACTAAGGACTTGAGGTGCATTATACTTATCATTCAGTAAGTAATCAATTGTAAATACATTTATGTAATGATGAAAAAGCAATATGAGTCACATCACTCTGGATATTAAGTGATTATTACAAGAGTAGTCTTATTGTATGGAAAAATTAACTTTGAACTTATAAGAAGTATTTCGATTTGAGTATGGATGAAGCTTCCTCAAGCCGAAGCGATTTGTCCTAGATAATTTCTAGACAAAAAAAGAAATGGCTGGGTTAAAATCAATCGTACGACCAGTTTTAAAATTGTGTTTGGCATCTATTTGTCATCTACTATCATTGAGTCATTTGGCATTATCTATTTTTGTATGTTTAAAATCATTTTGTAGTTACACCAATCCTACTATAATATTGGGCATTCAGTCTTTAAAGTGGTGTGCTTCTTATTGTTTTTTTCCGCCTTATTTATTTGTTTACCAGTCATTCATTTTAACTAAATTCCATGGATTAATGTTTGATTTGGCTACTAAAATAATTGATTCGATTTGATTTTTCACTTATATGTTGGATTTCACGTGATTAGTAACAACAAACAAGAATTTGATGTTGATACAATTTCAAATTTAACAGGGAGCATCAGTTTCCTCATAAATGTAGATATGCTTCATTAATGAAATCTAACTACGTTTTCTCACTACTTATTTTTTAATAAACTAACTTTAGAAAATAATTGAAGTATCAGATAGAATCATTTAGTTCCTTGACCCAGTTGTAACTTGCTTAATAGAATTTCAACAACTCTAGGAGCTAGAGACTGATTACTAATTAATAATCTGTCAACTACCTTTAGCAATCTAACATCGAAGTATAGTACACTTAGTATCGAAACATACTGATTAATGGAAACATTTCATCTTGATCAATATATTTTTAAGAAAACACCAAATTATCATGACATCGGTTATTACTCAGTGAGCAATTAATTTTATGTACATGCGTGTATATCATGTTCGGGGTCATGACTGTGTATTGTTAGGTTTTTGAAAAAAAATGAAACGTTGACCTCGTATTTTTTTTCTGTCATGTCAAGTAAGTGATATGGCCGTGAATAAAGTTTTATTTACTGAATTGTCATTAACTTATCATGAATTATCATAAACCTGTTCAAAAAGAAATAAAGTCTATAACTCATATACTTACTTACTTACGCCTGTTACTACTCGTTGAGGAATATAGGGCACCCTCCACCATTCTCCATTCAACTCTATCCTTGACAATCCTTTCCAATTCATTGCAGTTCCTATTCATCCTTTTCATGTCTGCTTCCAATTCTCGAAGCAGTGGGATCTTCGGTCTTCGACTTTCCCGTCTCGATTCAGGATTCCAAGTTAGTGCTTGCCTCCTGATTCAGTTTGGTGATTTCTTCAATGTGTGTCCTATCCACTTCAAACATCGTTTCGTAATTTTCTCTTCAAATGGAACATAGTTTGTTCTCTACCACAGTAGGTTGTTGCTGTTGAGTTTCGCCACCAAGTGTGATTGAGTTCGTGTTCTCTGTGCTGTATTTGAGGATTTTGCTTTTGACCCTGTGTATGTTGAGGCCTACTGGTGCAGAGTCTTCTGTTACTCTGTGGTTGTCTTGAACTGCATTTGTTCGTGTGTATGTGATAGAAGGGCTAGGTCATCTGTGAGGTCCAAATCGTCTAGTTGCATTCTATAACTCAATGTTCGATTGTAATTATTTTTGACTGTTACTATTTTTAATGTTTTAATAATATTAGATTTTATTTTATTTACTAATCAGTACTAATCATTATGAATATAAGTTCATAAGGAAATCCATATAGGAGTATAGAGTTCGGCTAGTTCTTAGTGCATATTCAACTTAACCCTTTTCACTTCTGTAAGTTTATATAAGCCATTGTGTGATTTCTAAATAAAATCTTTGTGTTATGGGTAGTTAGAGTAAAGTTCATTGAGTCTAAACCATTTCAAACAGCTCGATTTCCTGGTTTTTTTTTACAATCCTTTATTAATTAATATCTAGTCGCCCGATACAGAGAAATTTCTATATTTTAACAAACATTACCGGGTTATTATTTTTGTGACAATGTCGATGGAACTGTTATATTTTTAACATTAACTGTTGATGTCTAGGTTAGTAGTTTTTAGAACCCCAGAAACATTGCAACTTCTATTATTACAAAGTATTTTTTATGAATCAAACTGTTTATTATTTGGTTTACTGAAACAAAAAAATATTACCTTCTAACCGAAGTTTGTGCTGATAATGTCTTTCAGAAGGACGATGAAAGCTCCACGACCAAACCATCCAGCTCAGAGAACAAAACCCTCATCAAAATGGCTACATTCAAATGCTTATGTAAAGACATTATAATTTGTAAGTATAGTAAACTCTTGTTTACAAGGGCTTATAGTGAATATTAAAAATATATTCAATGGAATTGGTTTTCTTTACATCGAAATTTAAATACTATAAAATGTAATCACTTCAACCGACTGCAAATTAACCATGTACACTAATCTAAAATATTACTAATGAATTTAAAACAAAATCATACTACTATATAAATCTAACTTTTTATTATGAACTAAACAGACAAACATTTATTCAATACGAAAGTATTATTTTAAGAAAATATTTAATCAAATACATTTAAGAGAAGGGGGTTTAGTGGAGATTTTAGTAATTTCATATAGTTGAGATCATGAGTCAATTGAAGCTAGACCACCATGGAAAACCTGGAAGCACTGGACAGTCGTTTCGTTGTGTTGTGGGACTCGTCAGCATTGCGCATTCACGATTCTACAACAGCCAAACAGTTAAAACAGATTATAATATTAATTTCAACAGTTGAGATCATGAATTAATTGAAGCCAGACAGGATCGTGGATGCGCACTGCTGAGGAGTCCCTCAATAGAACGAAACGCCGTCCAGTGCTTCCAGGTTTTTTATGGTTGTTTCGCTTCAATTTACTCATGATCTCAACTACATGAAATACATTTAGGTTTTGTTTCTTAAATGATTCGAACATTGAATATGTAAATAAACAGGTGTAATATTTAGATGGAAATGATGGGAAAAAGAAAGCCTCGACGTTTAATTTGTATAACGATTAATATAATACTACATTAAATATAAAGTATACTGTAAGCAAATTAGTGATCAATTCACATAACTAGTATAATTATGCATAACATCACTTATATCTTATCTCCTTTAAAATACTCAACGTTTGCGGCAACATATTTGTCTCATCATTATTTTCACAGTCTAAATCATCCTTGAAAGACTTTAAATGTTAAGCTTTTTAGTTTCCTTATCGTTTCATGTTTGATAGGATAACTATACACACTCATAATGCCACCAAATTCAGTTCATTAACTGTCATCGAGATAGTGAGCTGGCAACTGATAAGAATGTTTGGTAGAATATATTCGATATCTTTCACAACAGGTCAACAGTTCTTATGATCTTGAGATATTAATTTGAAAGTAGCTGCTCTCATCTTGGCGTTATCCTCAAAGTCTTCAATACTTCGTGAAGCATTTGGTGTCTTGCCTAACGTTATACCATTTATTTTTTATCTTCACGTGGTTGATTTTTCAGTCTTACATTCCAGAAAATGACGATGATAAAGTAGTCCTGTTGAATTATTTGTGTTTTTATCAATTTTTTTTGTTATAAACTCAATTCTCTCCTATAAATTAAAGAAACTACACAGTCAACCACTTAACCTAAAACAGCCCAAATACTTGTTACCAGTTAATACTGAAAACGAAAGTGTTATGAAACGCCAATGTGTATCTCTTGTGAATAAAAGGTTCAGCCTACCTTTTTTGGCTAGGATGTAACATCTATTATACCATAACTCATCTGACGTTGTAGTTATATAACCTCCTTTGTATATTTACGTATTATGTAACTTTTTCCATTATATATATATATATATATATATATATAATTCTTTTGAAGGCTATTGATAATCATACATATGTGTAATTATCAACTACCTTCAGAGGGAATGTGATGTATGTTACTCATGTCGATATAAAGAGCATATTACACCAATCAGAAATGGAATATCTGGAAGCAGAAGCTTGGGAAGATCGAATAAAAGGAGAATGAGAACAGAAAGTAATTGTTATTGCAATGAAGGAATAATGAAGTTTGAGGCAATTGATAGAGGATTCGCAAATAAAGTATTGAACATATGGTTTTCACATTTGACAAAAGAACTCTATAAGTTTGTACTAAAATATATTGATTATCTCCATCTTTGTTCTTGTTCACAACGGAATATGTCAAATTGTGTAGTGTTAATTATTTCAATACAATAACACTTATTTTGACTATTCAAGGAATAAAAGTTATTACAAGGAAGTAGATAGTTTTAAATCCTTTTATCTGTTACTTATCTTGTGTTAGTTTAACTTTGATCAAATAAACTAACTATATGATTAATTTACATCTAAACTAATGCAATAGTCTATGGTTTTAAAAACTTTCACACAGTTGACATTGTCTGTTAAGAAATAGACCAAGAATGACGTAACAGATTAACTATTCTTTTTCTATGAATTTAATAAGAGGAATCCCTGAGGAGTCCCACAATAGAACGAAACGGCTGTCCAGTGCTTCCGGGTTTTCTACGGTGGTCTAGCTTCAATTGACTCCTGATTTCAAGTATATATAAAAGAAATAATTATAATAAACAAATTTTATTCAGAAAAATGATTATCATTTGGTTTAACAAAAAAACTGAGTACGTGTTTTCCAATGGTCATTAATCGCTTGGTAACAAAAATGGTGAATAAGAATGAATGAAATAATAAATGAAAATAAATAAGATTGATTTTTTTTCAAAAAAAAGAAAATTTAATTTACGATAGTTATGGTCCGGGAACTCGTTGTTTTTCTTTTTCTTTTTTTTTGCAGTTATTTAATTAATACAAGAACTTCATAGTGATTCATTTTTCTTTCTTGACCACCATAAGGGAAATAGGCGCATCCATGACTTTCATGAACCTTTTCAATAAAAATTAATGAATATAATTAAGAAAATATGAGTCTATTATAAATATTATGTTTTATAGTGTACATTACAAATTGACCTTAGTAAATCAATGATGACTTCAAATCATTGAATAGTTATTTTTGGTTCAGAAGGGGTTTTGTGGAGATTTCAGTATTTTCATAGATGAAATCATGAGTCAGGTTTTTCCATGGTGGTCTAGCTTCAATTGACTCATGATTTCAACTATGAAAATACTGAAATCTCCACAAAACCCTTTCTGATCTATAATCATATGTTCAGTAGTAACTGACTTCAAGAGATATTTCCTGGAGTTCTAGTGGGAAGCAGTGACCAGTGGAAATCAACCAGGTCTGTTGTGAGATATCAACTCATTGAAAACGATTAATGAACAGTCGCTCAACTTCGTGGATTGGTTGAAATTAGACATTAACACCATGGATGGCGGCTCAGTGGTCTATCAGTTAAGTGCTCTGGCACGAAACTGGTAGGTGCTGGGTCCGAATCTCGCGAGGTGGGATCGTGGGTGCACACTGCTGAGAAGTCCCACAATAGGACGAAACGGTCGTCCAGTTCTTCCAGGTTTTCCATAGTTGTCTAGCTTTAATTGACTCATGATTTCAACTATAAGAATAATTATTTCTTTCCTAGTATAGGACTGTATAGGATATACGTACAGCTATAAATTAAACTGTAAAATTCACTAGTTTTTATAATTTGTATTTACTCATAAATGTTGTCTTTATATATGTGATTAACTGATGAGAGTATATCATATATTGGAATATCTTTTTGATATTAATAAATGTGTCTTCATATTTGTAAAATACGAGATATTAATTACTGGGTCACCTGTCATATTAAAATACTACACGAATGTGCTGGAACATATTCAGAGCCAATCTTAAAGTCAGACAGTCATCACAACGAAACGATGTATTATTTGAAGAAACGTTATGGTGATTCGAATTGAATGTCAATGATAATGTGTCTAACTAGAGTATTTAGTTAGAATCAATAAGAATGTATTAACCCCGCTAAGACTACATGTAAACCACTCAAATGAGTATTACCCACACGAAACGACGATTTAAGATTTCCTTCCTTATTTTTTCATTAATCTAACATTATACAAAGTTCACTAATGATCAGATTTTAGAGTCGATCATGGTATTATATATTCTCTTGTAATGAGTGTTTTTTCACTCAGCTCTTATGTTTATCATAAGGAAAAAAAATTCACTAAGGTAATGTACTTGCTGTTTATGTAAATTACTACTAATTGATGAATCGATTTGTTATTTTTATGACAATAAAACGTTTCTATTGTAATCCTTCTAGTATAAATTAATAAGAGTAGCTGATGAAATTACGTACGATGTATTTATTCAACATACGGGATTATTCATTCATTCATTCTTTTATGTTTTATAAACTATGTATATTTAGGATTTCATTACCAAGTGTTGATTTGATAATTTTGAATAAATTTTGGTTATCTCTTCACTGAAGAAGTAGCTTACCTTGAGTTACGAAACGTCAGAAAATCTGATCTTTCTACTCATTGGGACATTACAAATATATTATTTTATTTATATGTACATTTATTCTTATATTGAAAAACAATAAAGTCTACAATTTCGATTTATATTAGAAAATAAATGGATTATGGTTGACAATGGAAACCAATGTGAGAGTTTCGTTCTATTAGGGACTAATCAACGCGCTATACTTGAATCCCATTGTTGATGTTCACATCGGGATTGATATCTATTACCTTTTTCTATAAAACATTAATGTTTCATTCATTGAATTATTCAGTTCAGCTAGTCACTAACTTATTTACAAGGTATTATACTCAGATAGTGGGACTGTTTGCATGAACTAACGTCAACGGTACCCGTGCGGTGGAGATCGGGCTAACCACCCACTCTACTTATACCCACAAATGATTACGAAGACTCCAAAGAATCAGATCATTCTTAGTATGAATTTAATTAAAATTTAGTTCTGAATATAAACAACTGGATAATATAAATCCCTACTAATGATTATTTATTGTTTTATATTTATAACAGAATAATACATTTATTGTGTTATTTTAGAATCATGTATAATATCTTTAGAATGAAAGACTTACTTTCCCAACTACTCGTTCACCATTAATATATTCTCGAGCTATGTAAAGTGGTTCATTGGATGAAGTTATACCACCAACAACAGCATATTTAGGAACATATCCATTACTATGTCGTTCCCATTTGTAACTAGGGTAATTTTGAAAAAAAGAACGATAATATTATTTAAAAATGATTAATTCTTATCTAGAACATGAATGTTTGAAAATGATTACATAATATTTTGATTTGTATTTTTTTTGGAAAGGGATATTTTTAGTCTTGAATTATGGTTAGAGATTCAGTTTCGTTACACTTTATATTATTTTTATTCTTAGAAAATTGACTGTTTATGGGACCTCATAAGATTTAAGAAGTATCTTTAACGTGACTAGTTCTATTGAGATATTATTCTACTAATAGATCTGATACAGTAGGGATTTTTATATGTATATACTCAATGTTAGGATATTGAATGCTGTTGTAAGGAAGTTTTATAAATAAGTTTCATGTCCTGGATTCCGGTGATAGCCACTGTCCATCTTTGCTTATAATGCTTGTGAATTAAGGCAATATCGAGGCGATACGCACAGTATACACATATGCCAATAAGAGACTGATCAATTGTTGTCCTAAACATTAATGGGAAGATTCAAAATAATGATGCTAAGTGACTATTAGGACTCAGTAGCTGACTGGATAACGTGATAGTGTTTGAAGCGAAAGGTACTGGGTTCGAGTGTGAGAGTGAACATCGACTCTGAGATGCAGGTACATCCAGCTGACGAGTATCGAATAGGACAGAACTGGGGTCCTGGATTCCACAGGTAGCCACTGTCCATCTTTGCTTATACAGTTTCATGTCAGTTAGAAATCGATAGAAAGGCTGATCTGCCACCTAGAGGAACTTGCTACTCATCGTAGGATTAAAAACCGTATCACTCAGTATTAAAATTAATAAAGCTACCATATGGCTATTTGGGTAGAGACTGAACGTCTGAAGGATTGAGATATGTATACTGAATTGTGACTGATATATCATTCTTGCTTGGTCATTAGTGATAAACAAATACTTCCAATGAATTTGTAATGCAGCCATTAGTCCTATGTTATTAGAAATAAAGTGTACTACATCTAAATATTTGATAATCGTGTAGGGAGATGTTCATTCAACAACACTTCAATGTAAAATCAAATATAATCGTTCTTATGATAACATACCAATGTTGGGGACCATATGGTAATTTTGTATCACATAATACCTCATATGAATCGAATTCATATTCTGTTCCATCATAACTAATATAAGCTTTGCCCAAATGTGGTACAACTTTACCAGGAATTACATCACCAGAATGACATATACGAGTAATGTAAACAGCATGACCTGCATCAATCGCATTTGTTGGCACTCTACCATCTGTTTGATGAATCCAGGATAGACATGATTGAATCCCTTTGCCAATTCTTGCCATCCTTGAAATTTAATTAAAATCAACGAAATATTTAAATAATTCATCTATAGAGAAAATTGAATTTGTTACTTGGTAAAATATGTTGACTTGAAAATTTTGATAAATACTAATGATTCAAACAAACAATACTAAGTGAATTTAAACTTCACCCCATCGCACAAGCAAGTGATTATCAGGACTCAGTGGCCGAGTGGATAACGCGATAGTGTTTGAAGCGAAAGGTACTGAGTTCGAGTGCGAGAGTGAACATCAACTCTGAGACGCAGATACATCCAGCTGACGAGTCCCAAATTGGACGAAACGCGCGTCCTGGATTCCACTGTGAGCCACTATCCATCTTTGCTTACAAATACTAATGATTATTTATAAATAAATTAATATATTTTGTAATATCCTAATGAGTACAAAAAATTAGATTTTCTGACATTTCGCGACTCAGTGTAATGATCAAATGATCAAATCAAAACTTGGTAATGATACCTATAATGATTGTTTAATTAAATGTTATGGTACCATTAAATCCAGATATAGTTTAGTAAATTACTATTAGTTTGAATACATACATATTCTAAATGCTTTAAAACAATGTTCATTAGTTCAATGGCAAATATTTATTCAATGACACAACTGTTATAATTCGATTAATACAAACTGTTGATCAATTAAGTTGTATCTATTAAGAATATTTCAACGTATTTTATATTTAGTATGTTTTGTAGATAAGAGACCTATATATTTTAAAAAGGAATCTTTTATCAGAATGAGGATTTGTGGAAATTGCGGTAATTGTAATAGTTGAATTCATGAGTTGATCTCAGCTAGATCACCAATGAAAACCTGAAAGCACTACACGACCGTTACGTCCTAAAGTGAGACTACTAAGCAGCGGATATCCACGATCTCTCACATGAGACTCAAATCCATCATCTCCGATCTCACGCGTGAACGCTTACGCTCTAGACCACTGAGCTGGCATCTAATGGCGTTATTATCTAACTTCGGTTGATTCACGATCATGCTTAATCTTTCATCTTTTTGTTATATCGATTGAATGCGTTCTTGCCCAGTTGATATATATGCCGTTATGAGACCGCCAATTGGAGGGTAGTGAATTTCCGATCAGAGAAATGATACACAAAAACTGTATGAGATGTCTTGAGTACTTATCAGTCCTGCTTTCTGCCTAGCCCTGTCAGTCCAGTCAAAAACACCAATAGCAGCCTCTGCAATATGAATCATTATTCTCAAACACACTGGGTTTATACACCAAACAAACTGACCATATCGTATCATAAAATAGAAAATAACGTTTGTACAAGATTTAGCCAAATGTGGCTGTGAATAGGGGGAACAGTAATTAATAGATTGGGAATAACTCAGGAATGGTACATCGTACAGTAATAGTCTATGGATCAAAATTAAGCTCTTAGCAAAGAGAACATGAATATGAATAGTTAGGTTACTTGACAGTTATACAATAGGAAATATACGCATCATATTGGTCCATAAATAGTCCTCAAAGTTACCATCCATAATTCTCCACGGGATATAACACTATTTAAAATTCATAGATTTTAAGTTACCTTTTTTAAAAATATATTGGATCATCAGTCAGCTTTATTAAAGCTCAAAGAAAATAAATTCACCTTCTCAGTTTAAACTACTTCATTAGTCACGATGTATCTTAAGCATTTCCTTAGCAGAATTTATTTTTGATGACTATAAATATATATTAACAATTACTCCAAGAGTTTGTGAAAATCATGAAAGCTAAGATGGTTACTTTTTTGTTGTGTGTGTTTGTTGAATTCGTTGAGCTGAATGGTTTAGTTGTCAATCATTCTGCGAGAAAACATTGTTCCAACCTTCTATTATGCGAGGAATATTTTTTAAATATTCTACATGCCTCTTACAATTAAATCATCCAAATTATAAAAAAAAAACATATCACTATCAGCAATATTCATCTGAATCATAAATCTTTCCTGTTCTTTCATAAAGCGTTATTTGATATAATGACAGTTGTCAGAAATAATTTAATGACTGTTGAATAATTACACAGTTGGTACACAGATCTATTTTCTTAAATCATTTTAGTTACCTACTTTATACTTTTAACAAAAAAAACTTCTATTAAAATGAAAGAATTTTGACTGATGGCTTTAAACTGATAAATTAATATTTTTTTATATGGGTTAAATAATAACACTATGATGTAGAAGAATATAATCAAATAATTAAGATTTGATAGAAAAACACTATGAAATATATCAAAGTAATTCGTATCAAACAATGAATTGAATAAAATATGCTAAGATGTTTTCCACATATACATATGCGCTACTACGTGAGCAACAACACTGAGATGGAGGTATTTCGAGCAGACGAGTCTCAAAATAGAACGAAACCCACATCCTGTATTCTGCAACTATCCACAATCCATTTATCCAAAATAACTTAAGATATAATGGTCATGCTGATGCAGTTCTCACAAGATACATATACGCTAAGTAAGACTGATAGAGATTAAATTATGAATCAACAATAAGACGAATCAAACTCATACTTCTACTAATACATATATATCAAACAAGTTTATTCAATAAATAGATTTCATTAGATACCTAAAACCAATACCAATGTTATCCTTAAACTCAAAGTGATCTTCATTTTGAATGTAAAATGATTTTATTTTTTTAATAGAATGCAACGAAATAACCATAAATTGAACCATAACACAAAATGCATTAAATTACTCTTGTTACCTTAATTGGAATGGAGAACAATGTAAATTATGAACTATCTACATGATATATATATATATATATATATATATATATATATATATATAATCAATTGTGTATCTATTCGAATAGGTTACATTTTGAATCTACACTGTATAGACATGAGATTTTATGTGAAATAACCTATGAGCTTAATTGTTACATTACCTAATTATCGAATTGTACACAAACATGAACACACATAAAGTAAAAAGACAAATAAACGTGTATAGTTGATTACAAAATGGTCAACTCTTGTTGAGATATGAACAATAATAAATACAAAGGTTACAAATCATAATAATATTTAAATGTACTATTAATACTGCTACTACTATTAATAGTAGTGAAAAATTAAAACGTGTACACTACTTTATCGAAATACACACATTACTATTACTATGAATAGATCCATTAAATAAATATATATGATATACAATTTCATCTGTAATAAAATCACTGATGATAGATTAATCTACTACTAATTAATCAAATAACAACACGTTAGCATAAATTAATTATCTTTTTTAATTGATATAGATTTGTGGGAGTAATAAGAAAATCAAAACAAGTACAAAGAACAAAGAATAACACAGGTTCATTAAAGTTATAAGAGAATTGAAGAGATTGAAATTATTATTTAATAATGTACCTGAATATTTTTTCTTTGAAAATTATAGTGTCATCATCCAACTATTATCGCGTTTTAGACAATTTATTACTATATGGTTGTAATCATGAGTCAATTGAAGCTAAACCATCATGGAAAACCTAGAAGCAATGGACGCATTCACCATTCTACCCCATTGAGATTCGAACCCAGGACCTATCAGTCCTGTGTACTGCTGAGGAGTCCAACACTAGGATGAAACATTCGTCCAGTGCTTACAGGTTTTCCATGGTGTTCTAGCTTCAATTGACTCATGATTTCAACTATTGAAACTTTAAATTATTTTCTTGGTTATTATTTGCAAAATAACGTTATCTTTAAGTATAGATAGAATCACAATATACTAATTATATAATAACCATTATCTGCTAAGGGTAAATGTAAAACTTTTCATATGATATTTATTATTGTATATTGGGTTTTGTACACTTTAGTTGTTTATAATCCTCAGTGAATTGATCAATTTTTATTACTGTATGATCGCAAGTGATAAGGTACTATGTTTTGAGTTTATGTATGAATTTCAATAATAGAATGCAATTGCATCATTGATATATAATCAATATAAGATATATGATTTGGCAACAAACAAAGATTGAGCAAATCGGATCTGACTATCAACAATTCAAATCTATAAATATTTTAAGTTTTAAATTTTAACTTCAAACTAGAAAGTTTAGATATTAAAGCTGAATAAATACCACTGTACGATGTTCTCGGGTGTACTTCTGAGATGTTTAGGGTTGATTACACTGATTTTATGGAGTAGGTATTAAATCTCGTTTTTACAATGATTATAATCTCCTTTGAACATGCGAACAACCAACTTGATTGATAGGATTCTTCTAGCACTAAAAGGACTAAGCAAATATGATGATGGTTACTAGTTAGTGATCACTCGGTTTTAATGCTTCCGTTTCAAAGAATGTTATTAGGGACCCGGATAGCTTGGTGGCAACATTTCAGGCTGTCGAGTTGGGTGGTATAAGTACATGTCGTACAAAAAGTGTCATTTATATCAAGATTTAGCTACACCTAAGTGACGAGTGCCAAACAACATAAAACCTAAGTCAAGCAGAATTTCCTGTCTAACATCTCCAATCACTAAACAGTAAAGTCAGTCATCTTAGAATACTTAAGCTAATTAATTCAAACATGTCAGTTTAAATTTAAATCCATTTATCGTTACTATTACTGCGGTGTTCACTACTTGTACGGTTAGTTATGAGTAACATGTATCAGGACTTGGAAGTAGAATTATTACGGACAAAGGCGGAAAGTGGAGAGAAGAAAATCGGAAAAGGAAGGCAATCGAAACAACAATAGGAATAAAAGAACATTGTAGTTTGTAAGGGATAATTCAAGGAAGATGGAAAAATAGTGAATTGTTTTCATAATTTACAAGCATTATGTGTTAATTTACATAATACAATAAATTTGTTCTCTCTGACCAAGTTTTCATTCACTATATTAATTATTCCACAATCGATTCATACTTTGGACGTGAGTCATTGAAATAAAATTTCTATCTGTTTATCCATAGATTATGATGACTTGAGATAGGTTTTTAAAACAACAAAAAGGTGGATACAGATTGAACTTTGATCAAATAATCATCTTAAAATACAACTGAATAACATAGTACAAGATATGAGTAATGTTTCATTCTACGATTATCTGTTTAGCTTTTTTGTTTGATATGTCATACTACTTAAATTCATTTAGTGGTTTAGTCTAAATTCAAACATTTCTGTAAAATCGTGTGTAAGATATAATAGTATATAACAATCGCAATAAGCCATGTGCTAGTTAACATTCCTTTTTGAATATCTTATTTCATTTCTCTTTTTGTATCAGTGCTTCTCCTTTCTACACTTGTTTAAGTGACTTTTGTAGATGACTGTTGTTTAGATCCTTTTCGACATAGGTATGTAGTGTTTTCTGATTTTAAACACATGTTGTACTTTTACTATTATCATCTTGATGTTGGTTTGTTCTCTGAGCTGGGTGGTTTGGTCGTGGAGCTTTCATCGTCTTTCTAAACGACATCATCAGCACAAACTTCGGAGTTTGTGCTGAACAAATCAACATCAAAATCACCCACCTGAGCTACAAATCTTCTCCACCATCTCACTATTATCATCTGTCTGAATGATAGGCTTCAAGCTTTACAGGATCTACTGAAAGAAGAGGAAAATACTATCGAGGATAATTGGAAAGGGATCAAAGAAGCACTAACTTCAATGTATCAGGAGGTTCTGGGCTCTGAAGTCAGACAATGAAATAACTACTGACACGCTCCACATTCTACACAAGAAGATTTGGGGGTAGAACAAGTGCCGATAGACTGGAAAGAAGAACAACTCTGTAGGAAGTGAAATCTTTCACATACGAGGACAGCATCGTAGACGAATATGTGGGATCTGATGCACACGTAAATGTGTGTATTGACAAAGTAAGGAAAGCATTCCTACAATTGAAGAACATATGGAATTGTGAACAACTGTCTGCGAGCCAATATCAAAATGAGAATCTTCAATATGAATATCAATACAGTTGTATTGTACGGAGCTGAAACGTGGAGAACTACCACAACCATCATCGAAAATGTACAAGCATATATAATCAATCGTCTACTCAAAATACTTAATATCCGTTGATCGGATACCATCAGAAACAGTGTATTATGTGAGAGAAAAAACCAAGTTCCATCTGAAGAAGAAATTACAAAATGACTTTTGAATTGAATAGCACACACATTGAGGAAATCACCAAACTGCATCACGAGGTAAGCGCTCACTTGGAATCCTGAATGGAAACGAAATAGTGGAAGGCCGAAGAAACAATTGCTTCGAGAATTGGGGGCAGATATGAAAGGAATGAATAGGAACTGGAAAGGATTGTCGAGGATTGAGTTGGATGGAGGATAGTGGTGGGTTGTTTATGCTGCTCCATAAGTGGTAACATGCATAAGTAAGTAAGTAATGTGTGTGTGGCCACACATACATTTAAACTGATAAACATAGCGGGATGTGATACAATCGTTTTCATATCTTTTATGCTTTTGGTAAAACATAGATGCTGTTTTTTCTATAATAATAACACTTACTGCATGTACGTTTTGTAGGTTGACAAATGGTTAATCAAAAGCAAACTGACGTTGTACAGCCTTATCAATTGCTTGAAAATGTTATTATTCATTAGTTGAATATGTAAAAAAATCAAATTTTCCTAATACTAACTTTTATCACTTCATTACATCCAATAGTCTCAAGTAAAATGAAATTAAGCTATTAAATACTTGAGGATTTCGCTTAAAAATGATTGAATGTAAATTTTTTTCCAACTAACTAATACCTGCATCCAATATAATAAATATAAGAGGTATCCAAGGTTTAAGGCAATGTACATCGTTTAGAAAAGATCATGGGATGTGAATTGAAGATTGTTAGATACAATGAAACATTAGGATTAATCAGAAGGGGATTTTGTGGAGATTTCATTATTTTCATAGTTGAAACCATGCGTCAATTGAAGCTAGACCGCCATGGAAACATGGAGGCACTAGACGGTCGTTTCGTCCTATCATGGGACTCCTCAGCAGTGCACATCCATGATCCCGCCTCACGAGATTCGAACCCAGGACCTATCCGTCTTGCACCAGAGCACTTAACCGTTAGGATTATTAATAAACAATGTTAATTTATATACGTTAAGCGAAATGGTGAGAGTCAAATAGAGTGAGAAAACGAATAGTGCAATCACAAATTTGATCAAATGTGGGAGACTATACTGTGTGTAAAGTTATATGAATACCATAATTATAAAGTGGAGTGAGTGCTAAAATAGATTAACCATGGGTTCGTTAAACTAATAGGCTTGTTGAATTAATAACAATAATAATACACAAATATGTGAATAAAGATAATAATGACTAATTTTTGACTAAGAAAGCTTGTATGTACATTAGTCAAATTCGGTCATTCTGTTGTTAAGGTTACCAATGATTAGTTGGCCTTGAAGTTGGGCAAGTTAAGAGAAGGTGTTGAACATATTTCTTTTATTTACATAACTCCGGGTTTTTAATCCAAATCTCTATTGCTTAGACGACTTTAAGTTTGACAGTTAAGCAACAACTTAATTAATTCGATAAATAATTGAGAAAGATTATTATTTTATACCGCCTAATAGGACATTACTATTTCGATTTGATAGAATAACACTAGATATGTTGTCGAGTGGTCTTCCAAAAGAAAAAATACAACAACCACAACAACAACAACTAAGAACTGATATTGTATCGAAATTTAATTGAAAACATTTGATTGTACACCAAAATATGAATAAAAATGTT